GTCTCATCTTCTAGCACTATATCAGAAAATGTTCTGCTGCTGTTCATAAGGTTTTCACTGGCCAGTTCTTTCAGAAGTATACTGCTAGGTCCTTCTTCCTAGTCTGTCTTAGTCTAGAAGCTCTGCTGAAACCTGTCCACCATGTGTGACCCTGCTGGTATTTGAAATATCATACCTTCCAGCATCATAGCAACAAGCCACCACAGTATGACATACTGGCAGATGAGTGGTGGTTCCGAATTTTAGTGGATTTTAATTTTATTTATTGTAACCCTATCCGATTAGTTTGAAAGAAAAAAACGGTTGACATTAGGGGAGATGGAAATTAATAGCCAAATTACAAAAAATGTTGCCTAATTGGAGGAATCACAGCTAATGATGCAATTCTTCCATTTGATCTGTGTGTCTTTTATATCCTTTTATTTTTAGCCTATATATTTAAAGTATGTTTCTTATAGACAGCATGTAGTTGGGTCTTGCTTTTTTCACACATCTTTATTTTTTGCCAGTGACCACCCATTTACAGCACATTTCTAGAAATTAATTAAACTTAGAATTACACTTTTGTATTTCAGTATTACCATATTCAACCAGATTTTTAAAAATAATGAAGCTTATTTAATGACACTACTTACTCATAGATTTTTATACCATTAATGAAATAAAATATAATGTAAAAATATTGTTTAATCAATGTCTCATCCTTTTTAAATTCTATTTTTGTGTATAAAATATATTAGTATAGCAGTATGTATCTATATATAGTTTATACATAAGTAAACATACATGCATTACAAGGGGTGCTCAATTTTTTTTTACTTATCAGAAAAGTTTGCCAGCCTCTGAGAGTAGAGGGTTGCCATCTGGCAGGGCAGCAGTGACTCTGGGGATGGAGAGAAAGAAGCAGTCAGGAACCATGTCAAAGAGATAGAATCAGCAATAGTCCCACATTCCACTTCCCTCCTACTTTTTTGGATTCTGTCTTCCCACCTTCTCCTTCTGTTCCTGCACACACCCATTTCTCTTATCTATGGGAGCCTTTTGCAAAGCTCAGGATATACCTGGCTCCCGCATCTACACCGCTTTTTGCCCCACAGCTTGATTTGAACCTGTGGGTTCAGCCCTGCCCTGGTTTCAGAGAGCAGAGAAGGGAGAACATGAATAACCTGTTCACATCCTCTGCCTACTTCTGCAATAGTCTCCTAGCAGATATTTCTTTGTCATTCCAGTGTGTCCTTCACACTGTTGCCTGGGTCACCCTCCTCAAACACAGATTAGATGATATTATACCCTTCCTAAAAAATTTACAATGGCCAAGAGAAAGTTGAAACATCCAAGAATGCTCTTCATTGCCCTCCTCCATCTGGCCCCAATGCCTTTCTTGTTTTTTTTTTCTTTTCTTTTTTTTGGTTCCAGCATAAGTAATACAATTCTAATCTCCCTACTTGCTCCTCACAGAGTGTGGTCCATGGATCAGCAGCTTTGGTATCACCTGGGAGCTTGTTAAAATGCAGAATGTCGGGCCTCATACCCTACTAATCAGAAACTGCGTTCAACAAAATCCACAGGTGATATTAAAGTTTAGGATTCCAGTGTCCCCAGAATCACCTGGAGAACTTGTTAAAAATAAAGCTATCCATATCACCCCCAGATCTACTGAATCAAATCTCTGGAGATACAGCCCTGGGATCTGAATTTTTTTTTTTTTTTTTTTTTGCTTTTCTGTGTGTTTAAACCCCAAAACCAAACCCATTGCCATAGAGTCGATTCTGACTCATAGCGATCCTATAAGGACAGAGTAGAACTGTCCCATAGGGTTTCCAAGGTTGTAATATTTACAGAAGCAGACAGCTACATACTTCTTCTGTGGAGTGGCTGGTGAGTTTGAACTGTCCACCTTGCAGTTAGCAGCTGAGTGGTTCACCACTGCATCACCAGGGCTCCATTCTATTTGTATAGTGAGGTATAACTGACATACAATAAAGTGCATGCATTTAAAGTGTACAACTTGCTAAGTTTTGGTATGTGTGTATAATTGTGAAACTATCACTGTTGTTGTTGTTGTTAGGTGCTGTCAAGTTGGTTCTGACTCATAGCGACCCTATGCACCACAGAACAAAACACTGCCCAGTCCTGCACCATGCTCACAATCATTGTTATGCTTGAGCTCATTGTTGCAGCCACTGTGTCAGTCCATCTCGTTGAGGGTCTTCCTCTTTTTCGCTGACCCTCTACTTTACCAAGCATGATGTCCTTCTCCAGGGACTGATCCCTCCTCACAACACGTCCAAAGTATGTAAGTCGTAGTCTCGCCATCCTTGCTTCTAAGGAGCATTCTGGTTGTACTTCTTCCAAGACAGATTTGTTCCTTCTTTTGGCAGTCCATGGTATATTCCATATTCTTTGCCAACAATGCAATTCAAAGGCATCAATTCTTCTTTGGTCTTCCTTATTCATTGCCCAGCTTTCCCATGCATATGATGTGATTGAAAATACCATGGCTTGGGTCAGGCGCACCTTAGTCTTCAAAGTGACATTTTTGCTTTTCAACCCTTTAAAGAGGTCTTTTGCAGCAGATTTCCCCATGCAATGTGTCTTGATTTCCTGACTGCTGCTTCCAAGGGTGTTGATTGTGGATCCAAGTAAACTGAAATCCTTGACATCAATCTTTTCTCCATTTATCATGATGTGGCTTTTTCGTCCAGTTGTGAGGATTTTTGTTTTATGCTGAGGTGTAATCCATACTGAAGGCTGTGGTCTTTGATCTTCACCAGTAAGTGATTCAAGTCCTCTTAACTTTCAGCAAGCAAGGTTGTTAATATCTCAGGTTGTTAATGAGTCTTCCTCCAACCCTGATGCCCCTTTCGTCTATATATAGTCCAGCTTTCTGGATTATTTGCTCATCACACAGATTGAATAAGTATGGTGAAATGATGCAATCCTGATGCACACCTTTTCTGACTTTAAACCACACAGTATACCCTTGTTATGTCCAAACAACTGCCTCTTGATCTGTGTACAGGTTCCTCATCAACACAATTAAGTGTTCTGGAATTCCCATTCTTTGCAATGTTATCTATAATTTGTTATGATCCACACAATTGAATGCCTTTGCATAGTCAATAAAACACATGTAAACATCTTTCTGGTATTCTCTGCTTTCAGCTAGGGTCCATCTGACATCAGCAATGATATCCCTGGTTCCACATCCTCTTCTGAGTCCGGCCTTAATTTCTGGCAGTTCCCTGTTGGCATACTACTGCAGCCGCCTTTAAATGATCTTTAGCAAAATTTTACTTGCGTGTGATATTAATGATATTGTTCACTAATTTCCACATTCAGTTGGATCACCTTTCCTGGGAATAGGCATAAATATGGATCTCTTCCAGTCGGCAGACCAGTTAGTTGTCTTCCAAATTTCTTGGCATAGACGAGTGAGCACTTCCAGTGCTGCATCTGTTTGTTGAAACATCTCAATTGATATTCCGTCAGTTTCTGGAGCCTTGTTTTTCGCCAGTGCCTTCAATGCAGCTTGGACTTCTTCCTTCAGTACCATTGGTTCCTGATCATGTGCTACCTCCTGAAATGGTTGAATGTCAACCAATTCTTTTTGGTACAATGACTGTGTATTCCTTCCATCTTCTTTTGATGCTTATTGCATCACTTAATATTTTCCCCATAGAATCCTTCACTATTGCAACTTGAGGCTTGAATTTTTTCTTTGGTTCTTTCAGCTTGAGGAATGCCGAGCGTGTTCTACCTTTTGGTTTTCTAACTCCAGCTCTTTGCACATGTCATTATGATACTTTACTTTGTCTTCCTGAGCCGTCCTTTGAAATCTTCTGTTCAGTTCTTTGACTTCATCATTTCTTCCTTTTGCTTTAGCTACATCCATTTTGGTCTTTTCTTTCTTTCCTGTATTTTTAATGACCTCTTGCTTTCTTCACGTATGATGTCCTTGATGTCATTCCACAACTCATCTGGTCTTCGGTCATTAGTGTTCAACGCGTCAACTATTCTTGAGATGGTCTCTAAATTCAGGTGGGATATACCCCCATGTGTCTATCAGTTTGACGTACTGTGAAGGCTTGCGTGTTGCTGTGATGCTGGAAACTATGACACTGGTACTCAGATACCAGCAGGGTCACCCATGGCGGACAGGTTTCAGCTGAGCTTCCAGACTAAGATAGGCTAGGAAGAAGGACCTGGCAGTCTACTTCTGAAAAGAATTAGCCAGTGAAAACCTTATGAATAGCAGTGGAACATTGTCTGATATAGTGTCGGAAGATGAGCCCCCCAGGTTGGAAGGCACTCAAAAGACAACTGGGGAAGAGCTGCCTCCTCGAAGTAGAGTGGACCTTAATGATGTGGATGGAGTCAAGTGTTCAGGACCTTCATTTGTTGATGTGGCATGACTCAAAATGAGAAGAAACAGCTGCAAACATCCATTAATAATCGGAATGTGGAATGTATGAAGTATGAGTCTAGGAAAATTGGAAATCGTCAAAAATGAAATAGAATGCATAAACATCAATACCCTAAGCATTAGTGAGCTGAAATGGACTGGTACTGGCCATTTTGAATCAGACAACCATATGGTCTACTATGCCGGGAATGACAACTTGAAGAGGAATGGCATTGCATTCATTGTCAGAAAGAACATTTCATGATCTATCCTGAAGTACAACACTGTCAGTGATAAGATAATATCCATACGACTATTATTCAAATTTATGCACTAACCACTAACGCCAAAGATGAAGAAATTGAAGATTCTTACCAACTTCTTCTGTCTGAAATTGATCGAACATGCAATCAGGATGCATTGATAACTACTGGTGATTGGAATGAGAAACTGGGAAACGAAGGGTCAGTAGTTGGAAATATGGCCTTGGTGATGGAAATGATGCTGGAGATCTCATGATAGAATTTTGCAAGACCAACGACTTCTTCATTTGCAAATACCTTTTTTCACCAACATAAACGGTGACTATACACCTGGACCTCATCAGATGGAATACACAGGAATCAAATCAACTACATCTGTGGAAAGGAGACGATGGAAAATCTCAATATCATCAGTCAGAACAAGGCCAGGGCCTGACTGCAGAACAGACCATCAACTGCTCATATGCAAGTTCAAGTTGAAACTGAAGAAAATTAGAACAAGTCCATGAGAGCCAAAGTACGACCTTTTTTTTGAACTATCACTACAATCTAGATAATGAACATATCCATCACCCCCAAAAGTTTCCTTGGGCCTCTTTGTAATCCTTTAATCCCATCTCTGCCTCTGTCCCCTACCCCCCCGCAAGGCAACCACTGATATGCTGTCATCATAGATGAATTTGTTTTTTCTAGAATTTTATACAAACAGTATCATAAAAGTATTTACTCTTTTTTGTCTGGCTTCTTTCACTCAGCATAATTATTGTGAGATTTATTCATGTTGTTGGCTGTGTCAATATTTCATTACTTTTTATAGCTGAGTAGTATTTCATCGTGAGGATATACTACAATTTTTTTATCCATTTACCTGAGGATGGAAATTTGCGTTGTTTCCAGTTTGGAGCTATTACGGGTGAAGTGGCTAGGAACATTTGTGTACAAAATATCTATTTGCTTACAAAATATCTTTATGTAAGCAAATATTTTCATTTTTCTTGGCTATTGTTCATAATATTCCCCTATTATCCTTTTAATATCTGTAGAATATTTAATGATATCACTTTTCTCATTCCTTTTTTTCTCTGATCCATTTGATTAGTGGTTTATTAATTTTACTGATCTTCTCGAAGAATAGGTTTTGGTTTCATTGATTTTTTTCTATTTCATTAGTTTCTACTCTGATTTTTATTATTTCCTTTCTTCTATTTTGGAGCCCTAGTGGCACAGTGGTTAGGAGATCAGCTGCTAACCAAAAGGTTGGCAGTTCAAATCCACCAGCCGCTCCTTGGAAAACCTATGGGGCGGTTCTACTCTGTTCTATGGGGTCGCTATGAGTCAGAATCAACTAGACAGAAACAGGTTTTTTCTTCTACTTTGTGTTTCATTTCCTGTTCTGGTTCCTTAAGGTGGAAGGTGAGGTCACTGATTTGCGGACTTTTATTTTTTCTAATATAGTCATTTAATGCTATAAATTTCCCCCAAAATACTGCTTTTACATTATCCCTCAAATTGTAATATGTTGTTTCCATTTTTATTCCGTTCAAAATACTTGCTAATTACCCTTTTTATTTTTTCTTTGACACATGGGTTATTTAGATGTATGTTATTTAGTTTCCAAATGTTTGTGGATTTTCCAGAGATGTTCTGTTGTTGATATCTAACTTCACTGTGTTTAGAGAACATACTTTGCATGACTTGAATTCTTTTAAATGTATTAAGATATGTTTTATGGTCCAGAATATGGTCTACGTTGGTAAGTGTTCTGTGTGCATTTAAAAAGAATGTGTGTTCTGCTGTTGGTGGTGGAGCGTGGTATAAATGTCAGTTGGGTTATACTTGGTTGATTATGTTGTTTGTCTTCGGTATCCTTACTGATTTTTTACTTTTTCTATAAATTATTGAGAAAGGGATTTTGTAATCTCCAACTAAAATTCAGGATTTGTTTATTTCACCTTGTGGTTCTATCAGTTTCTGCTTCATGTATTTTGAAGTTCTGTTATTAGGTGCTGTTATGGATTGAATTGTGTCTGCCAAAGATATGTATTGTAAATCCTAACCTGTATACCTGTGGTTGTAATCCCATTTGGGGATGGGTTTTCTTTGTTATGTTAATGAGATAGTATTAGTATAGGGTGTGTCCTGAGTCAATCTCTTTTGAGATATAAAAGGAGCAGATCAAGGCAAGCAGAGGTGGGGGAAGATAGATGCCACACCACATGAAGATCACCAAGGAACCAAAGAATAGAAGCTGAAGAGACAAGGATCTTCCTTTAGAGCTGACAGAGAGAATGCCTTCTCTTAGAGCTGACACCTTGAATTTGGACTTTTAGGTTCCTGAATCATGAGAAAATAAATTTCTGTGTGTTATCACTTGTATTTCTGTTATAGCAGCACTAGAAAACTAAGACAGGTACATAAACATTTAGGGTTTTTATGTCTTTCTGATGAATTGACTCCTTTATCAATATAAAATACCCTTCTTTATTACTGATAATATCCTTTGCTATGAAATCTACTTTGTCTAATATTAATATAGACACCCCATCTTTCTTTTGATTAGTGTTAGCATTATATATCTTTTTCATCCTTTTATTTTTAGCCTATATATTTCAAGTATGTTTTTTACAGGCAGCATGTAGTTGGGTCTTGGTTTTTTATCCAGTCTGACAATCTCTGCCTTTTAAGTTGGGTGTTTAGACCATTTAATGTGATTATTGATACGGTTAGGTTTGAGTCCATCATCTTGCTATATGTTTTCTATTTGTCCAGTCTGTTCTGTCTTCCTTTTCCTCTACTTTTCTGTTTTCTTTTGAATTGTGTATTTTTTTATGATTCTATTTTATGTCCTTTATTGACTTATTAGCTATAACTCTTTGTTTTGTTATTATAGTATTTTCTCTAGGGTTTATAGTATACATCTTCAACTTACTATACTCTACTTCCAGGTGATATTATATCACTTTACACATTGTTGTTAGGTGCTGTCAAGTTGGTTTCAATTCATAGTGATCCTATGTACAAGAGAACGAAACATGCCTGGTCCTGTGTCATCCTCACAATCGTTGCTATTCTTGAGCCCACTGTTGGAGCCACTGTGTCAATCCATCTCATTGAGGGTCTTCCTCTTTCTTGCTGATCCTCTACTTTACCAGGCATGATATCTTTCTCCAGGGACTGATCCCTCCTAATACATGTCCAAAGTGTGTGAGATGTAATCTCTCCATCCTTGCTTCTAAGGAGTGTTCTGGTTGTACTTATTCCAAGACAGATTTGTTTGTTCTTTTAGCAGTAAATGGTATATTCAATATTCTTCGTCAACACCATAATTCAAAGGTGTCAGTTCTTTTTCGGTCTTCCTTACTCATCATCCAGCTTTCGCATGCACATGAGGGGACTGAAAACACCATGGCTTGGGTCAGGTGCACCTTAGTCTTTACGGTGACATCTTTGCTTGTTAAAAAGCAAAGATCACTTTACATACAGTATACTAATTTTACAATGGTATACTTCCATTTCTCCCTTTTGTACTGGTGTTGTCATACATTTTACTTTTACATATATTATAAACCCGACACTACAGTGTTATTATTTTTGTTTAAACGGTCAATTATCTTCTAAAGAGATTTAAATAATAAGAAAAAAATTTGTTTATTTGTCCATGTTCTTACCATTTCCAGTGCTCTTCATTCTTTCTATAAATCCACAATTCCACCCGGGCTCTTTCTCCCTCTGCCCAGAGGACTTCCTTTAACATTTCTTATATGCAAATCTGCTGGTAATTAACTCTTTCAGCCTTTGTATGTCTGAAAAAGTCTTTATTTCATCTTTGTTTTTGAAAGATATCTTTACTAGGTATAGAATTCTAGGTTGATAGTGTTTTTCTTTTAGTACTTTAAAGCTGTTGCTCCACTGTTTTCAAACCTGTATTATTTCCAACAAGGAAATGCCTATCACGTTCCTTATTATGAGACATGTCTTTTTACCCTAGCTGCTTTTAAGATTCTCACTGGTTTTGAGCAATTTTTGTTGTGCCTTCATGTAGTTTTGTTCATGTTTCCTGTGAGATTCTTGGTTTCTGTTGAGATTCTTGGATCTGTGGGTTTATAGTTTTCATCAAATTTGGGGAAAAAAAGGTCCATAATTTCTTCAAAATTTTTTCTGTAACTGACTTCTCAATTATGCATTTATTAGGCAGCTTGAAAATTTCCCACAGCTCATTGATGCTGCATTCATTTTTTAAAATATTCTTTTTCTTTGTGTGTGTTTCCTTTGGATAATTTCTATTGCTGTTTTCAAATTTGTTATTTTTTTCTTCTGCAATGTCTAATCTGCCATTAAACTCAACCATTTTTTTTTCATTTTAGATATTGTAATTTTCAACTTTAGAAGTTCAATTAGAGTCTGTTTTATATGTTACATGTCTCCACTTAGCTATTTAAATGTATAGAATACAGTTGTAATAATTGTTTAAAACCCTTGTCTGCTAAATCTAACACCTTTGTCAGTTCTAGGTCAGTTTTATATTTGATTGATTTTTCTCCCCATTTTGGTCATATTTTCCTGCTTCTTTGCAAGTCTGATAATTTTTGATTGGATGCATTTTACCTTGTTGGATGGTGGATATTTCTGTATACCTATAAACATTCTTTAGATTTGTTGTGGGGCTCAGTTAAGCTTCTTGAAAACACTGTGATCCTTTCTGGAAGGACTTGCTAGGTGAAACTCTGTTTACAGCCATGTTTAGTGGTAAGGATCCCCATTACTGGTGCAGGACCTAATGTGTACTCTACGCAGTACCCCACGAATTATGAAGTTTTACAGTTTGGAAAGTTACTTAAACTCTCTGTTAAGTAACTGTTTCTGGCCCTGTGTAAGCGACAGGTACTCTTCCCTCTATTCCTTTTTGGTGGTTCTTTGTTTGGGGTAGTTTTCTTACATGCTCCTCTCTGGTGTTCTCTGTGTAGCCTTCTCTTGTCTGGTATTATGTTCCACAAACTCTAGCAGCTTAGGTCTATCTGGACCCTCAGCTCCATCTCATCAACTTGAGGTTTACTGAGTTGCCTCTTCATGCACTGTAATCTCGCTTAAGGCTGGGAAATTGCACAGCTCATCAATTTCCTGCCTCTCAGGTTCATTGTCCTTTTTTGTTTAATACCCGGTATCGTGAAAACCACTGTTTTATATATTTTGTCCAGTGCTTTGTTTGCTTTAGGTGAGGTGGTAAATCCCATGCTTGTTACTCTTTTAGCCAGAAGTAGATACAAAAAAAGTGGATGTTTATATCTGTATTTTTAAAATAAGTTTCTCACACGATTAGGATGCAACCACCCCAGGCCTAGTCTGTAGGTTAGCATTTGATATGTTGCTGAATTCTATTGGCTAGAATTTTGTTGAGGATTTTTGCATCAAAAATTTGTAATTTTCTTTTTTTGTGGTGTCTTTACCTGGTTTTGGTATTAGGGTTATGCTGGCTTCATAGAATGAGTTTGGGAGTATTCCATCCTATTCTATGCTCTGAAATACCGTTAGTAGTAGTGGTATTAACTCGTCTCTGAATGTTTGGTAGAATTCTCCAGTGAAACTGTCCAGGCCACGACTTTTTTTGGTTGGGAGTTTTTGAATTACCTTTTCAATCTCTTCTTTTATTATAGGTTTATTTAGTTGTTCTACCTCTGTTTGTGTTAGTTTATGTAGGTAGTGAGTTTCTAGAAATTTGTCCATTTCCTCTAGGTTTTCAAATTTGTTACAGTACAATTTTTCATAGTATCGTTATGATTCTTTTAATTTCAGCTGGGTCTGTCGTGATATCATCCATCTCATTTCTTATATGGGTTATTTGCTTCCTCTCCTGTTTTTCTTTTGTCAGTTTGGCCAGTGGTTTATCAATTTTGTTGATCTTTTCAAAGAACCAGCTTTTGGTCTTGTTAACTCTTTCAATTGTTTTTCTGTTCTCTATTTCATTTAATTCTGCTCTAATTCTTATTATTTCCTTTCTTCTGGTGCCCAAGGGCTTCTTTTGCTGCTCACTTTCTACTTGTTCCAGTTGTAGGGTTAATATTTTGATTTTGGCCCTTTCTTCTTTTTGGATGTGTGCATTTATTGCTATAAACTGACCTCTGAGCAATGCTTTTGCTGTGTCCCAAAGGTTCTGGTAGAATGTGTTTTCATTCTTGCTTGATTCTACGAATTTCTTTATTCTGTCCTTAATTTCTTCTATAACCCACTAGTTTTTGAGCAAAGTATTGTTCAGTTTCCATGTTTGATTTTTTTCCCTTGCTTTTTCTGTTACTGATTTCTACTTTTATGGCTCTATGGTCAGAAAAGATGCTTTGTAATATTTCGATGCTCTGGATTCTGTTAAGGCTTGCTTTATGGCCTAATTGTAGGTTAGCATTTGAGAACTGCTGCTCTAACCCTGGAGTCCTGGTGGCGCAGTGGTTGACAGCTCGGCTGCTAACCAAAAGGTTGGCATTTCAAATCCACCGCCACTCCCTGGAAACTCAACGGGGCAGTTCTACTCTGTCCTATAGGGTTGCTATGAGTTGGAATTGACTTGATGGCAATGGATTTTTTTGTTTTGCTCTAACTTTACTGGACTACTTCCCACTGATCTTCAGTCATCCATATACCTTTGTTTCTCTATGTCTTTGCTTTTCCAGTTCCCCGTCCTGAATACTTTCTTCCTCTTTCTTTCCTTGTCCAAATCTTAAAGATGGAAAATTTAATCAAAATGCTATCTCCTTCTCAGAGGAGTAAGGTCTCCACCTCTCTGCAGAGAAAGTCATTCTTGCCTAAGTGCTTCCTGATAAAAATATAGTAATTTCCTTTTTATATTTTTATCATAGCAGTTATGTTCTTCATTTTGTGATCATTGTTCACTCATATATTTGTAAGATCCCTAAGATCAGACACCTTGTCTTTCTTGCACAAAGTAAGGATTCTATTCAATTAAGATTTGTTAAGAAATGAAGGAGGGCCTTGAACACGAGACCAAGTAGTAAAACTAAGCAGTATAGACAGACCATCTTAGGGTTAGCATAATGTGGCTGGTACAGCCTTGTTTTGGTCTAGGCAATGTAAGATTGGCTTAGCAAATAGGTTTCATCTTGCTTGATGAATCTGATTGACTGGTATGTTGAGAAGGATTCTGAGTCCATCCACATTCTGGCTCCATGAGAAAGGCAGCCATGATTGCTTAGATATATCTGGCATGGCTGTGGGACGAGGAAGTGGTTATACACATGCCATACATTTTTCAACAATGATAAGAGGTTTCTCTTTTAGTTTAAGATATATGATAAAAATATTTCAGAATCATGGTCTGAAAAATGATTTATGAGCTACTTTAGGAATGAGATGAATTTAGATAATAAAATATTGGAATGTCTCAGTTGTTTTGATACTTTTCCTAAGCATGTAGGGTATTTAAATAATAATATTTAACAAATATATAACACATCAGGCATCATTCTAAGCACTATACATATATCAACTCATATTCTTCCTATAACAACCCATTGTGGTAAGTTCTATTAATATCCTCATTTTGTAGGGTAGGGAAACTGAGGCACAGAGAGGTTAAATAACTTGCTTAAGTCATACAGCGGGTAAGTCTGGCTGTAGAATCTGTGCTCTTATCACTGTTATACTGCCTTTCTAAGGAACATTTAATGTTTCAGAAAAATTGGAGTAGTTACCCCATGTAGCTATACATCTACAGTATGGAAAGGACACAGTGAATTTGTGGCTTGCTAATATGAAAATGGTCCAAACACCCCAAACTCTAACCTTAGATTAGAAATATTTATCTTTCATGATTCTTATAGTCACGCCTGATCTTTTATGTTTTATTTCTTTAGGGTCCCTTGCCAGTTCCATCTTTGATCCACTCAAATATCTTGTGGGTGCTTCAGGAGGAGTCTATGCTCTGATGGGAGGCTATTTTATGAACGTTTTGGTGGTAAGAAGTCCTTTGGGAAATGGAGTCTATGGGCTTTTTAAAAAAAAAAAACAAACCAGTAACTGGTATAGTTGATTCTCATTATTTGCAGTAGTTAGGTTCTGTAAAAGGCCCCTAGGTGGCACAAATGGTTTACACTCACCTACTAGCCTAAAGGTTGGTGGTTAGAACCCACCCAGTGGCACCATGGAAGAAAGGCATGCAACCTGCTTCTGTAAAGATTAAAGCCAAGAACACCCTATGGAGCAGTTCTATTCTGTAACATATGGGGTTTTCATGAGTCAGAATCAACTAGGCAGCAACAGGTTTATGGTCTATGAAGTCACTGGGAACACTGAATTAGCGAGTTCTGAACCATTGCTCCTAGAGGAAATATAGCGTTAGGTTCTTATGAGTCTCTGGTAACAACATTTTTATCAACTGATCAATACATAACCTTGCTTTATGTGTGTTTCTGTTTAAAGACACTTTATTTAATATATATTATCGCTTTATTATCATTGAACTCACGAACAACAGCACTATAACTCATGCCTGAATGAAGCTTATCTAACACATGTATTTTTGCCATAAGGCACATCACAGCCTTCTTGTGCTTAGGAACACTAAGCAGCACTTCAGCATGATGCTTAGGGCCATTTTAAACACTGAAATCACGAAGAAAAAGCACAAAAATGCAAAAAATGTGGCACTAAATAGACTGAAAAAGGAATTTGTTTATAGAATGAGCTGAAACAAGAAGGCAGCGTCACCTTGGTTGACCTTAGCTGGGAATGTACATGTTGGACAACTCAAAATTTTCACCCCTTTGTGCGTGTTTGTGAATGACCACAAAAACACCTCAAGTATTGATTTTGGGGTCACAAATAAATTTTAGCGCGTAGGCAAATTCTCAAATACAGAATTCGCAAATAATGAGAATTGACTGTATTTGGTTCAGACAATCTTCACTTACCAGTATTTACTCATTTACTCAAGAAAGCACCACTTTTCTGAGATATGGCACCAAACATTCAGTCTTCCTTTCATATTTCATCTTTATTTTTTCTGATCTCAAAAGTACCCACTGCTCACTGCCGTCGAGTCGATTCTGACTCATAGTGACCCCATAGGGTTTCCAAGGCTATAAATCTCTACGGAAGCTGAATGCCACACCATTCTCCCCTGGAGCTGCTGGTGGTTTCGAACCACCTACCTTTTACTTAGCAGTCGATCGCTTTAACCACTGTACCACCAGGGCTCCTATGATCTCAAAAGTAATGAGTATTAATTAAAATTCTGAATTAAACAAATAGAAAGTCAAAGTCCCCAAGATAGTATCTGTTACCAGTTTGAATACTTTCTGGTATGCATTCAAAATCCTACCAGTACTACAAAAATAGCACCAGCCTTATACTGTTCTGCATCTTAACAGAGTATCCTGATCATCTGATCATAGCAGTACACAGAGATGCACCTCCATCTGTTCAGCTGCTCCATAGCATCCTCTGTATAGCTACATCATGATTTATTTAACCAATCCTTCATCGAAAAACATTTGGGGTGATTCCAGCTTTTCACATTTACAAACAATGTGTAAGGAATGTTCTTTTACTTTTTTGCATTTGTGTGATTTTTTTTTCTGTAGGACAAATTTCTAGAAATGGATTTACCAGATAGACTTTAAATTTTAATAGATACTTGCCAAATTGGTCTCCACAATTTTACACTTCCACTGATAGTAGTGAGAGTGCCCACCACTTTTTGAAACAGGCTAAAATCCTGACTAGTTTTAACCCTTTAGTTAGCAGTTAGGTATACTTTAAAAACACTCTTGGAGGAAAGATATGAAGCAATTATAGAAACTGTTCCAAATACAGAAGTCACTTAGAAAACTGTCTTTCACATCTTATAACATGGAGGAAGCTGGAGGTCATTTTGCTGAGTGAATTTAGTCAGTCACAGAAGGACAAACATTGTATAAGACCACTATTATAAGAACTCAAGAAAAGGTTTAAACACAGAAGAAAACATTCTTTGATGGCTACGATGGTGGGGAGGGAGGGTGAGGGTTATTTACTAACTAGATAGTAGATAAGAATTATCTTAGGTGAAGGGAAGGACAGCACACACTACAGGGGAAGTCAGCACAACCGGACTAAACCAAAGCTAAAAAAGTTTCCTGAATACAATCAAACACTTTGAGGGACACAGTAGCAGGCGTAGAAGTCTGGGGACCATGCTTTCAGGGGACATCTAGGTCAGCTGGCATAACGAAGCTTATGAAGAAAATGTTCTGCAGCCTACTTTGGTGAGTGGTGTCTGGGGTCTTAAAAACTTGCAAGTGGCCATCTAAGATGCATCAACTGGTGCCAACCACCTGGAGTAAAGGAGAATGAAGAACACCAAAGACACAAGGAAAGTAGTAGCCCAAGAGATAGAAAGGGCAACATAAACCAGAGACTTCATCAGCCTGAGACCAGAAGAACTAGATGGTGCCTGGCTACCACCAATGACTGCCCTGACAGGGAACACAACAGAGAGTCCCAGATGGAGCAGAAGAAAGGTGGGGTGCAGAACTCAAATTCTAGTAAGAAGACCAGACTTAATGGTCTGAGACTGGAGGAACCCCAGAAAGCATGGCCCCTGGATTCTCTATTAACTCAGAACTAAAACAATTTCTGAGACCAACTCTTCAGACAGGGATTGGACTGGATTGTGGGACATAAAGTGGTATTTATGAGGAGTGTGTCTCTTAGCTCAAGTAGATACAAGAGACTAAACGGGCAGCTTCTGTCTGGAGGTGAGATGGGAAGGCAGAGAAGGTTAGGAGCTGGTTGAATGGACGTGGGGAATTAGGGGTGGAAAGGAGGAATGTGCTGTCACAGTATGGGGAGAGCAATTAGAGTCACATAACAATGTATGTATAAATTTTTGTATGGGAAAAAATAAAAAAGAAAAGTGTGTTCCAAACTATGGGTTGCAGCCTATTGCTGTTAGCTGCCTTCCAGTGGGCCCCTGACCCATGGTGACCCCACGGGCAACCTATTGGTGGTTGTGAATTCAGTTTAGGGGGTTGTGACCAAAACTTAAAAGAAAAACAAAAAACAGTGTGTAGCACGTATAATAAGGGTAAGTACTGCTTGATTTATGTGCGTAGTGGGCTGTTACATAAATTATTTCTTACTGTGGGTCATGGTCATAAAAGTTCGAAAATAACTGATTTAGAATAAACATGGCTATTCTAGCATCTTTATTCCTTAGAAATAGAGTTAATAAATTTAAAGGGAAGGGAGCAGTAGCTCAATCAGTTGAAGGAGAAATGTCTTTCTGACTCAAAAGTTCTCTGGTGATACATTGGGGTATTGCAAGCTGGACTGAGACTCTTCAAAGTTAAAATCAAAGTGTTTTTTGACGAACATTTTAAATGTTTTTGAAAAAAAATTTAGAGTAATATTCAAATTTCAGTTAACTCTTTGCTAACTACTACTGGGAAAGAGGTTGAAGAAAGATCAAATGAATACTAACCAAAAACTTGGAAGTATTTCATCAGGCTTAGTTTGACATTTTTTTTTTTTTAATGGACATGTGAAGCACTGATTTTATATTACTTATATTTAGATTGTATCAGGCTAGTAAAATTGTATCTGGTTTATATGATGAAATTAAACATCATGTTTCATCTGTTCTCAAAAGTACACCTTGAACCTCCCAAATACATCTGAAAACTGGGCTGTTACCAGTGCTTTGTTTTGCAGATATTTAACTCTTCAAACTAAATGAAAAAGCAGATGAAGACGAAGTAGAGTTGATGTTTCATTTGCCAACTGATAACTTATATTATTACTATTTTTCTCTTTGCAAGAATTTCCAAGAAATGATTCCTGCCTTAGGAATTGCCAGACTACTGATCATCATCCTTATAAGTAAGTGTGCTTTGTGGACACTTTCAATTTTATCAGTTCAATCTTCAGAGAGCCTTTTCACATTTCCAAAACACTAACCTATAGGATGACTGCTAGCATGGAGTCAGAAAGAATCATTGGCTCCATAGCTCCAAGCAAACAGGTATAAATGGAAGTGCTTTCACAGATCATCATGGTTGGTTCTTAGAGGTACTTCATTGACACATGCTTTTGTTTTCTCTTTCTGGAGTGGGGGAAGCCAGGAGAGTAGAGCTCTAGGCACCCCCTCCACTTCAACCACAATAGCTTCACTTATATTTTATATACAGGAATTTATAGGGGTTACAGTATTTGATACAGCTTGGAAACCACTGATTTAATCTATCTTCTTCCTTGATTTCTCAATTTTCAGATTTAAAAACAGAAAAAAAAAGGACGTAGAAAGCATGTCAACTAATTTCTGTTGAACTGGGACTAGAAGCCAGTTATTCTGATTCCCAATTCATTGCTATTACCCCTAGTTCAAGTAAAAAAAAAAAAAAAAAAAAAGTTTTCCCAATGTTTATATTTTAAATATTCTTTATCAAGAGAAACTTTTATAACAGTAAACTTCTATAAGAATAACAAATCTAAATGCAAATTTCTCTCATTTTTAATTCATGTTTTGTTGGCTCCTCCATATCCTTCCTCATATTCAAACTAAAACGTAAACCATTCACTTTGTTTTAGCATCAGTGATGGTTGGGTGGGAAAGGAGGTTGGCAGGTGGGACTAGGGGCTAAACTGAAATTTAATAACTAGTCATATGTATTAACCATAGTTTCCCATGAACCTGCAATCAGAGAGAGTCTGTTGAAGACCCATCTGTTGATGGCTCAGCACTAATCCAGAATGTGAAAAAATATGGTGGCTTTCCCCAGGAGTCATGCAATGCCAGTACTATAACCATTTGCTGTCACCAAAACACATGAGAAGTGGTTCCAGATTCAGGCTCATCTAGAGTAGGCTGTAGGTAGACTCCTGGGGGGTCTGAGGTGGTTTTAAGTTGCAGAGGAATATGAGGTTGATGATTAACAGTCATGCCACTAGCTCAAGAAGAGCCTCCTGTGAGCCTTTTTATCCTGTTGCACAAGAAAATCCTAGTTCTTTAAAATTTACTCTAAAACATCTATCACAGGAGATAGAACAGGAAAAGGGAGAAGTGAATGTCAAAGCAATCCCTTTGATAAGAAGGACTGAAACCTCCATCTCCAGGGCCTTTGTTTTGGGATTTTCTTTCTTCAAATGTTCCCTCATCCACTAATGAAAAGTTATTAGACTTCCACAAAAAGGAAATCAGAAAATAAAATTGAGTGATACGACACTGTCCAACCCCTGCGTGTGGTGATGAACAAGAATGGAAGCAGGGAGACTAGCCAGGAGGATACTGCAAAAATCCAGGCAAGATACAGTTGCCTGGCACAGGGTGTTAGCGGTGGTGGTGAGAAGTGAGGTGAGATGTGGTGTGGGAAAGAAAGAGAGGCGTTAAGAGTGACTAAGAATTTTGGCCCGAGCAACTGGAAACACAGAGTTGCCATTTTTTTGAGATGGAGAGGAACAAAGTTTTTGGGAGGAAACCAGAAGTTTGACTAGGTTGAGTCTGAGATGCTTAGAGATCAATATGGAGATACAGAGTAGGGTATGGTCTCACATGTTGGACAGTGAGTTCAGCAGAAAGGTCTGGGTAAGAGATATAGAATTGGGAATAGTCAGCCTGTAGATGGTTTCTAAAGCCATGAGACTGAAAGAGAGCACCTGGACAATGAGAATATAGAAGATAAAAGGTCTGAGGATTGAAGACTGAGTCCTATACTTAGAGGTTAGGGAAGATGGGGAAGTACCTACAAAAGAGACTGAGAAGGAGCAGGCAGCTATGTAGCAGAAAAACCAACAGGTAGTGGTGTCTTAGGCACAAAGTCAAGAAAGTTTTTTAGGGAGGGAATGATCAACTATGTTAAATGCTGATGACAGTCCAAGATGAAGCCTCAAAACTGATCATTGGTGACCATGACAAGGACAGTTTTGGTGAAGTGAGTTCAGGAGAGATTAGCAGGAGTAGAATTGGAGAGAGCAGACAGACCCAAGTCTTTAAAAGTTTCAAAGGGGTTTTGTGCAAAGGGGACCAGAGAAGCAGTGGATGATATGGGGGTCAAAAGAGGGTTGTTTTTGCTTTTTTTTTTTTTTTTTTCAGATTGGAGAAATTTAGTTTGCTTGTATGTTGATGGTAGTGATCTAACAGTGAGGGGAAAAACTGATGATATTGGAGACAATTGCTGGAGCTCTCTCCATGAGTGAGAGAGAGAGCTGGAGCCTACACATAAGAGAAGGGGTTAGCCTTAGACAGGAGCAAAACAGCTCATTCAAGTCATTCATAGTAACAGGAGGGAAGGCAGATTGTATGGTATGGATACAAGAGATAGAATACATGGTGATAACAGCTTATGGAATTCTTCTCACTACTTCTATTTTCTTAGTGCAATTGGTAACAAGTAAGGTGGGGGAGATTTGTAGAGAGAGGAAAATGTATGAAGTAGTCATCTAGGAGGGTGGAAAAAGGGAATGGACAATGGAAATGTAGCAGATTAAAGTTAGTGGTAACAGATTTCAAGCGAGGACAGTAAACATGGTTGTGTGTTTCTCTTCTGCCATATTCAACTGTGTGGGTGTAAGACTGGAATAGGTGGAGAGTGTGATTAACTAGGGTTGGGGTTTTCCCACCAGCTGTTCCACAGGAGAAAGATGTGGCAGTCTCCTTATGTAAACATTTACAGCATTGGAAACTCTATGGGGAAGCTCTACTCTGTCTTATAGGGTTCTTATGAACTAGAATTGACTCGATGGCAATGGTTTTTTTTTTGGTGGGTTTTTATAGGTGAGAATTATGGAGTCCCTGGGTCATGCAAATGGTTAATCTGTTAGGCTGCTAACTGAAAGGTTGGAGGTTTGAGTCCACCCAGAGGTACCTGGGAAGAACGGTCTCATGATCTACTTCCAAAATATCAGCCATTGAAAGCCCTATGGAGCACAGTTCTACTCTGACACTCATGGGGTTGCCATGAATCGGATTGGCTTGAGGGTGACTGGTTTGGTTTTTTTATGATGGAGAGAAGAGTAAGGGAGCTGTGAATGTATGCAAGGCAGTAAACAGACTGATGGACCATGGTTACAGAGAGAAGTGAGGACATGCGGGAGGTGAGAGGGACGATGAAAAGGTGAGGGGATCAATGGGCCACAGGTGGCATCAAGACAAATGTGGTATACTAGAGGGAGTCAACCAGTAGACAAACTTGGGGCCTTGAAATTTGAGATTTTTGGAAGGTGGTGCAATTACTGGTAATGACAAGATATGCGATAAAGCATGGAGTGGTGGCTGGGGATTGAAGACGAGAGAGAGGACATCAAGGAACTCAGAGGCCAGGGAACTGGGAGGATGACTAACGCGGCTTTTGAAATCTCCAAGAATTACAGCACAGAATTACATGGTAAATGAGTTTAGGAAAAGTGTTCAATCTGGACAGGAGGTGGAATTTTAGCTGAGTCCAAGGCAGAAAAAAACAAGAGGAAAGGCAGGAGTAGTTAAGCGTGCTCACCAACCTGCTCCAGCTGAAGCTTGTCCACACAGAGGGTGTGGGGATAAGGGCAGCTCCTGGGATCAGACTGTGGATGGTCTTGAATGCTGAGACAGAGCTGACCTGTGATGAAACTTAAGATTTTGCCTGTCCACAAGATAAGAAAAAAATGATTCTGCTAACTGGTATCAGGAGTTCAATTATTCACATTATGGAAACAGGAACAACTACTACCTCTGAGTAAAGAGACTAAATTTAGTTTATGAACAATTTAACTATAAAAACACCAATATTTCATTCTGAGATAAAATAATTCACTTGCTTTTAGTCTATACTACACTGTAGACAATTTATTTTCTCCACGAGAAGTCAGAGAAGGGACAATTGTCAGCAGAGAAGGGAGCTAGGAGAGTTGCCGTGTGATCACAGCTGCCACCTGAGTTGCTGACAGTCACAACCAGAACCAAGCGACAAATTCTCTGACCAAAAACAATGCTATTATACATGTTACCTGGGTCTTCAGCCAATCTGCTTCTTTTAGGTAATGATGAAAATAAGCCTCAATCCCTTACAGGGGAAATGTTTTTACTACCCTTCTTTATTCTCAATATTGGAGTGAAAAAAAAAAAAGCCGTTTCCTCTTTACATGGTATCTCCAAATACAATTTATGTAATATTCATTCTTGAGGGAAGTAATAAAATCACTGAATGATGTGCTTTTATTACATTCTGCAAACATCTTAAAAGTACGTACCGTATGCTAACATGAATCTTCCCCACTTCTTGGCACATGTCATTTCTAAAAGTTCTTTGGCTTGGTTTACCTACTATTGAAAATGAGAAGAGTTACAATACACTCCAGACTAATAAAAAACAAATTAAGAAATACAAATACATTTTTATTTTAAACACTTTTCCTTGGAAAAACATAGTTTGTTTTTCTTTCCCTAAATAGTAAATATTATTCTTACTTATGAGGGACAATTAGCCTTAAGGACCTTCTTTCACCAAAGCATTATTTGTTGGATGTTATTTTGTAATTACATAACTGAGTTTCTCTTTGGCAAAAGGTAGGAAATCTCACATTTTCATTCTTAAAAAAAAATCTGTATAAAGGTAACTCTCATAAAAGAAGAGCCCTTTTATTTTTAAAAAATGTTTACAAAGGATTTTTACTGATTGAGGAAAAAAAGCCTTAAATATGATGCTATGGTGAAAATTTTATATATAGTAATATCTGAGTTATGTTTAAAAACACATAGGGAAAGATTGATGCAATGAATTATGCAAAAATGTTAAGTTTTCTCTGGGATGGTGTCTTAGTTATCTAGTGCTGCCATAACAGAAATACCACAAGTGGATGGCTTTAACAAGGAGAAATTTATTTTGTCACAGTCTAGCCGGCTCGAAGTCCAAATTCAGGACGTCAACTACAGGGGAAGGCTTTCTCTGTCAGCTCTAGAGGAAGGTCCTTGTTATCAATCTTCCCCTGGACTAGGAGTGCAGGAGCCCTGGGTCCAAAGGTTGTGCTCTGATCCCCGTGCTGCTTTCTTAGTGGTATGAGGTCCCCATCTCTCTGCTCGCTCCTCTTTTATATTTCAAAAGGGATTGGCTCAAGACACAATCCAATCTTATAGATTGAGTCCTACCTCATTAACATAACTGCCACCTATCCCACCTCATTAACATCACAGAGGCAAGATTTACAACATACAGGAAAATCACATCAAATGACAAAATGGTGGAAAAATCACACGATGCTGGGAATCATGGCCTAGCCAAATTGATATACATATTTCTGGAGGACACAATTCAATCCATGACAGACGGGATAAAGGACAATTTAAAAATCCATTTTTTTAAACCTTTTATGTTCCCTCTTTTTATTACATAATAAATATGCATTATCATGAAAATAATAAAGTTAAAAGTTCAACTATATTACTTTGGTATGCATTGAAGCTTACTACCTTTAAGCTCAACCAAATAATGGGGGCTCAGATTTTTAGTGAGGAAAATGATTTGGTTCATTGGAATACAGGCTTCTTTTGAGATGCGAAGTCATGTCTCATTTTAGAGGCTATAACAACTCAGAAGCAAACTCTCCCAGGAAGCAGAAAGAATCAGGCAGAGATGCTTAGGAGGGAGACAAGATAAGAGAGAAATGGGGTGGAGAAACTGACATGTTAATGGTTACAAAGTTTTTTTTTTTTTTTTTTTGTGATAGCAAACTTTTTAAATTGTACTTTAGAGGAAGGTTTACAGAACAAACTGGCTTCTCATTAAACAGTTAGTACACATGTTGTTTTGCGACATTGATTACCACCTCATGACATGTCAACACTCTCCCTTCTCGATCTTGGGTTCCCTATTACCAGCTTTCCTGTCCCCTCTTGCCTTCTCATCCTTGCCCCTGGGCTGGTGTGCCACTACAGGCTTGTTTCGTTTTATGGGGCTGTCTAATCTTTGGCTGAAGGGTGAACCTCGGGAGTGACTTCATTACTGAGCTAAAAGGGTGTCTGGGGGCCATACTCTCGGGGTTTCTCCAGTCTCTGTCGGGCCAGTTTTTGTGAGTTAGAATTTTGTTCTACATTTTTCTCCAGCTGTCTGGGACCCTCTATTGTGATCTCTGTCAGAGCAGTCAGTGGTGGTAGCCGGGCACCGTCTAGTTGTACTGGACTCAGTCTGGTGGAGGCTGTGGTAGTTGTGGTCCATTATTAGTTCTTTGGACTAATCTTTCCCTTGTGTCTTTGGTTTTCTTAATTCTCCCTTGCTCCCGCAGGGGTGAGACCAGTGGAGTATCTTAGATAAAGATGTTTCTGAGAGGGGGCCTCCTACTGTGGAACAGCTAGATGAGACCAAAGTAATTCTTCCAGGAAGGCAGCTCTGCTCTTTGGCAGTGGTTTCCTTCTACTTTCATAGTCCTACATTTGTGTATTATGTACACTGGACCAGGAAATGCAAACAATGGTTTAAAATATAGTACAGTCACATTTATCGAGCACTTTGTGTAACAGTCATTTACAATTAAATTAATATTGAATATTCCCTCAACCTCAATTTCTGTCCAGTGACTTCAACATCAATACAGTACTGAAAAGTAAAATAGCCAGAGCACATGGTACTGATGCTGTTTTCCCAAAGGCAAGGACTAGGTCTTTACATCTCCTAGGACACTGTGGCTCACTAAGTAGAGCAGAGGGAATTGGGGGATGGTGTGGAAACGATGGCTGCATGAGATGTGTCCAAGGGGCCTGCATGCACAGGACAGAGTTCTAGGCCAAGAAACCCGGAACTTCCTTTTGCAGTACAGATCTGACTTATTTGAAGAATGCCTAAATTCTGGTTCTCACTATCCCACCGGAGCATGTGACTCATTTCCTTTCATGGCCTATGTTCAGTGCTCCTGGCAGTAGTTAGAGGCAGTTACTGTGGTGGATGAAGAGTAGAGCCTCTGCAACCAGACTGCTTAAAGTTCAAATCCCACCTCTGCCTCTCTGCTGTGCAGCCTAGGGCAAGTACTTAATCTCTGTGTCTTGGTTTATGTGTAAGATGCCACCATCATTCCTCACTTGGATTGCTGCAATAGTATTAATATCCTAACTGGTCTCCCTGTTCCTATCCTTGCTCCCTTTGAGTCTATTTCCTATATAGCAGCCAGAATAATCTTTTTAAAAACATAAGTCAGATCATGTTACTCCTGTGCTCAAAATCCTTCAAAGGCTTCCATGCAGAATAAAAGCCAAAATGCGTACAATGGCCATAAGGTCCCCACATGATCTGTCCCCAGCTACCCATCTTACCTCATCACCTACCATTTTACCCCTCACTCCAGTCCATTACCAGGGGTGGTGGGGGCGGGGAGAGAAAAAACCAAACCCGTTGCCGTCAAGTTGATTCCAACTCATAGCTACTCATAGCTACCATCTAGGGTAGAGTAGAACTGCCCCATATGGTTTCCAAGGAGCGCCTGGTGGATTCAAACTGCTGAACTTTTGGTTAGCAGCTGTAGCTCTTAACCACTATGCCACCAGGGCTTCCAAATTATCTGGATGGCTTGTTAAAATAAGCTTATTCCTACCTTAGTTTCTGGTTCCACAGGTCTGGGGGTGAGGCTTGAGAATTTTCATTTCTAAGTTCCCAGGTGACGCTGATGCTGCTGGTCTTGGGGTGACCACACTCTGAAAACCACTGCTCTAGCCAGATAAACTGCTCTGGTGTTCCTCAAACACCCCAGGCACATTCCTGCCTTAGGGACCTTGTACTTGCTCTTCCCTCTGCCTGGAAGATTCTTACCTCAAATATCAGCATTGCCTGCTCCGTTATAGGAGTCCTGGCTGGTGCAAATGGTTAACGTGCTCAGCTGCTAGCCAAAAGTTTGGAGGTTCGAGTTCACCTAGAAGCACCTTGGAAGAAAGCCCTGGCGATCTATTTCGGAAAAGTCAGCCACTGAAAATGAAAAGTTGGAATCAACTCCATGGCAACTGGTTTGGTTTTGGTTTTGCTCCCTTATCTCCAGCAACTATCATATTCTTAGTGAGATCCTCCCTGATCATCCTATTAAAAATGACACCCTACTCCTGGCATTCCCAATTCTCTTTCTTAGTTTTATATCTTCTCCATAGCACTTAGCACCATTTAACATACTGTATATTTTACTTATTTGTTTGCCTTCCTCATCTAGACCATCAGCTAGCGCCATCAGGCAAGGCTATTTGTCTGATCTATTCATTGCTTTATCTCTACCACCTAGAACAGTGCCTGGCACATAGAAGACAATCAATAAGTACTTGTTGGATGAATAAATCTGTAAAACGGGATAATGACAGTACCTATTTCATGGGAGTTGTTGTGAAGATTAATGAGTTAATACATGTGAAACTCTTGGACCAGCACCTGGCACAGAGCGAGTCTCAATAAATGTTAGGTGTTATTGTTAGAGAGGAACAAAAAACGTTTGGCTCACTGTTGTGGAAATACTGGGGCTTCATCAGGTTGTTCTTCCTTCTAGTTGCATCAGATATGGGATTTGCTCTCTACAGAAGATTCTTTGTCCCTGAAAACAGGTCACCGGTGAGTTCGTTTTTTTTTTTTAATGAAAATTTGTTATCAATAGATAAAAAGCGTCATCAAACAGGGACAAATCCTCTGTGATTTGGACTCCCTGGAGGGTGTAAAAGGTTAATGTGCTCGGCTGCTAACTGAAAGGTTGGTGGTTTGAGTCCATCCAGAGGTGCCTTAGAAGACAGGCCTGGCAATCTACTCAAAAATCAGCCACTGAAAACCCTGTGGAGCAGAGTTCTACTCTGACACATGTGGGGTCACCATGAGTTGAAATCTACTCAACAACTGATTTTTTTTTTTTTTTAAACTCTGTAAAAAAATTTACTCTGGGCAAATTTCCATTTGGAAGTTAAGAAAATTGCTAGGGAAATCAGACTTTTGGATTATTCTTCTGAACTTTCTCATAGCCCTGACAATGGGCTCTACTTCTCAGTACCTGCCATACTGGTAACTATTACAAAACAGGAGAGTAGGGATTTTACTGTCCACAGAGAAGAATAACCAGCTTGGAAAACAGCAATGGTAATCTGGGTCCAGATGAATTTACAATATACCTACTCCTCACTTATTGACTATCTTGTTATCCCACATTTCGCATTTATGACAATAGTAAAAAAATCTACTATCCAATTATTTTGTGCATTAAGGAGGCAGTAGGCATGGGAGCAACAGCTGTGGAGCCTCCCCTCCCTTGAGGAGGGTCTCCCCGCTGCCCTGCACCCTCCGATCCCTTCTGCTGGTGAGGGTGCTGAGTCTAGCTGCCACTCAGAGCCAGCCTCCTCTGTGGCCACAGCATCTGGGTGGATACACAGGCAGAACTGAGCCAGCAGGTGCCTGTTCTCAGTTCCCAGCTGCTATGCTGCCTGAGGCCCTGCAGCACAAAATTGCTGTGGGGTGGGGAGAAAAATACGAGGCATCGGAGAGGGTGTTTGAAAGAAATGCATGTGAGTTTATTGACATCCCAAAGTGAGGCGAACTGGGCCTGAAACTACCACCTCCGTGGGGTCGGGTGCACAGCCAGGATCCCAGCGCTCTCACAGGAAGCCCTGAGCCTTGGTGACTAGCCAGGCCTGGAGGGCAGAGCAGGCTTGCAGGGGTGGGAGTAGAGCCCTGGAGGCAGCTCTGCAAGGAAAGCTCTGACCCAGCACAGGAGGAAGGTGAAGTGGTTAAGCCGTAGGCCCTCTAGTCACACAGCCCGGCTTTATCCAGCTTTGTCTCCTCCAAGCCTCCTGTTTTCTGCAGAGGAATAATCTATAACTGGACTTGTCACAGTGATGAACACATCAGTATATCTTATTAGCTATTATTATTTCTATGATCATATTTTCTAAATTAAAAAAATTGGACAAATGGACGCCTGAAAACAGGAAAAGAAAAATCCTCCATTGTCACATAATACCGATTTTTGTGTAACGACCTGGTCTTTGGAACCTAACCATGCAGATAAGTGAGGAGTGGGTGTATAAAGAAAACTGACACAGATTTCTAGTTTTGCCAGAATTCGTCTTTGAATTTGGTAGTTTCTGTTGAGTATTTGTATGTAGATATTACTTGTGTTTTAATTCTGACATCCCATTTATGTGGGATCAGACTATGTTCCTATGGCGATCCCTCATGGCAACTCAACTACTCCTTGGGTGGCATTATAAAGAGCCATCCTAAATGCAATGATGACCAAGAAGAAGAAGAAACAATGGCTCTGTCTTGTCTACTCAGAGAGTGGGTGAAAATAACATTTTTTGGCTTTGCATGTTTTAGAACACCTCTCTGTGTACATGGACTTTTCTGTCTCTTTTGCCTTACCCACTAGTTCTCCAGACTTTTAAGACTTTTGTTCGACTCTGATGGTATTTGTGTTTGAGTCAAGAGAGATGCAACTGAAATATGCAATTAGCATTTTATTCACTTGTTTCTATTTTTTCTTTTTCTCCAAAGGTGTCTTTTGCAGCCCACATTGCAGGTGGATTCGCTGGAATGTCGATAGGATACACTGTGTTTAGCTGCTTTGATAAGGCACTGCTGAAAGATCCAAGGTTTTGGATAGCAATTGCTGCTTATTTAGCTTGTTTTATATTTGCTGTGTTTTTCAATATTTTCCTATCACCAGCAAACTGATCTGTCCCAAATATAAGTCAATTAATAAAAAGAGACATCTGGGGGGAAAAAATGGAGAACTCTATCAAGAAACAGAAAAGCTCTGGCAAATGCTAACAATTTTACAAAGAAGACAAAACACAACCCAACTCATAAGCTGCAGGGACTGTGTACAAAAAAAAACTTAGGGCTTAAGGAAGGGCCTTCTGAAAGCAAAGAGTGGGAAGAGGAAAAGAGAAAATGGGAGGGAATAAAAACCAGAGATTGGGTCTTTCCCAGGCATATGGTATGCATGTATGTATTGTATGAAAGAGACTTGTTCTCCTTCGAAGATATATTCTAGAGATTGCTTGATAGAATCCATGAATACTATCCTATAACAAAAACTTGCCATACCTGTGTCAGACTCTTGATAATCACTTTTAGATAGATCATTGTTAGAGATGCTTTATATACATTATTGCCAATCTTTCTGACATCCCAGGAAGGCAGATATTACTCTGTATCTTAGAGATGAGGACACAGATAGGTAACTATTACTCTTTATCTTAGAGACTGTTGTTGTTAGGTGCCATACAGTTGATTCTGACTCATAGTGGCCCCGTGGGACACAGTAGGTTTCCTAGGCAGCAATGATTGTGAGGATGGTGCAGGACTGGGCAGCCTTTCATTCTGTTGTACACAGGGTCACTACGAGTCAGAACTGACCCGATGGCACCAAACAACAACAATCTTTACAGAATTAGGACATGGAAACTCTTAAAAAAATCAAGTAACTTGTCTAAGATGAGGCAGAATTTAAATGTAGGTAATGATCTGAAAACCTATATTCTCTCCTCTACTGGCCTAACAATGCTGTATTCCCCAAATACTGAAAGTTAAGAGTATCGTACGAGTATAGGGACAAACATCTCTATGGGTGCACCATGAAAGATAGAAATACCTTACAGAAGGCGGCTTAGAATTTTCTGGACTGCTAGTTTAAGATTCTAGTAGTTTGTCCAGGATCCTAAGGAACTTGTAACTGGCTTTCTGGCACACACTATGTAGCTGAACTCTTTGGATTCTTGTCTATAAGATTTTTATCCTTCACGTGGCTAGTGGTTCTCCTAGGAGTGAATAGGATTTATTTACAAAAGATAAAATATATTTGAAAGCTGAGAAGCCTTTATCTTTTTCACGTACAGAACCCAGACTGCTGGCCATTTTGTTTTCCAAAATGGCAGTTTTAGGTCATCTGAACACAGGAAATACAGTTTTTTCTTCTTTCATCATCCTCATATTTGATTTATTAAACACCCATCTAAATATATCGCTGTATTCTGAAAGGATTACATAATTTAATTAGCTATAATGAGAATAGTAGTATTTTTGCATTTTGAGAAAAACTGATCTGGGATTTGTTAAACATTTTTTAAATTTAAAAAAATGTATACAATGTGTGTGTGTTCTTCATTAAACAAAGATTCAAAGAACTTAACATAAAAGATAAAAAGCCCCTTTCACATTCCTACCCCAAACCTACTTTTTCCTAGAGATAACTACTGCCAACAGTTTGGTGTGTATCCCTGTAGACTTTTTTTTAATCTATAAACATACATATAAAATGCAGGTTTTAACAAGATAAATGAGATCATTCTATATGTATTGTTCTGCAACTTGATTTATAATGTGACTTAGAGATCTTTCTATGTTAGTTCACAGACATTTTTATTCTATGACTTGCTAAATAATTTAAATGTACTGTAGTTTATGTAGGAGCCCTGGTGGCACAGCGGTTAAGAGCTCAGCTGCTAACCCAAAGGTCGGCAGTTTGAATCCACCAGCCGCTCCCTGGAAACCCTACGGGGCAGTTCTACTCTTGTCTCATAGGGTTGCTATGAGTCAGAACTGACTCAGCGGCAGCGGGTATAGTTTATTTGGAGTCTCTGGGTGGTGCAAAATGGTAAATGTGCTAAGCTGCTAACTGAAAGTTTGGAGGTTCAAGTCCACCCAGAGGCACCTCGGAAGAAAAAGTCTGGTGATCTACTTCCGAAAAATCAGCCATTGAAAACCCTGTGGAGCATAGATGTACTCTGACACACATGGTCACCGTGAGTGGGAATCGGCTTGATGGCAACTGATTAACTGGTTATAGTTTATTTAACTATTTCTCTATTGGACATTTAAATTATTGCTGATTTTGTACTACTGCCAACAGTACTAATACATGCAGTGCTTCTGAGTATGTTTGCTGAATGTATGAATATTTCAGGCATCCAGAAGCAGAAATGCCATGTTAATCTTATAGATTTAAACTGCCATTTAAGTAGCTGTATCCATTTATATTCTCATCTACAGTATATGAGAATAATGGTTTCCCCACACCTTTGCCAAAAGAAGGTATTATAAATCTTTGAAATTTTTGCATTTTGGTAATTAAAAAATAATACTTCAATTCTAATGTGTATTTCTCTGACCACAGAGGCTGAGTATTTTTCAAGTTTATTAATAATTTATATGTAATTTATAAATATTCTACATAGTATAATTTATATATACATAATGTTGTTGTTGGGTGCTGTCAAGTTGATTTCGACTCATAGCCACCTTATATGACAGTAGAACTGCCCCACAGGTTTTCTTGGATGTAATCTTTATGGAAGCAGATGGCAGGTCTTTCTCCTGCAGAGCTGCTGGATGGGTTCTAACTACCAACCTTTTGGTTAACAACGAGTGTTTAACTGTTGTGCCACCAGGGTTTCTAATATACTCATAATATGTAATATATAAAAATATGAACATATACAACATATATATTTCCCTGATAAAATGTTTGCATTTAATCTGAAAAGTAGCTATTAGTTGGCAAAGAGGCCCAGGGAAGAACTATCCACTTGCCATGCCAACCCACCAGGTTACTTGCTCTGAAGAGAGATCTTTAATTTCAGTGTAATTTTTAATAACAAAACTAAACAGAAGAACAGGATTTATCTACCTATGAAATTGGACATGACCAATTGATTCCTGCAGCTAACAAAGCTGATGACTAAGAAGTTATCAAATCAGAATTTATGGTACTAGAAATAGTTCATATTACTAAAAACAGTGGTAGCTTATTGGGTTCCCCAGGTGGCAAAAATTACAGTAAAAAAAAAAGTACGCAGGTATTTCCTGGTGTTTTGAATCTGACATCTCTGCATTATAAAACCCAAAACCAAACTCATTGCCGTGGAGTTGATTCCGACTCATAGTGACCCTATAGGACAGAGTAGAACTGCCCCATAGGGTTTCCAAGGAGTGGCTGATGG